TAAATTTGTAATGTAATACATTGGTTATTTATAAAATATTGATTCAAGAAGTTAGGCAGATCTTCCCAAATGTACACGTTTCATTGTATATTTTTTAAAATTACATTTGTTTTTATTACCATCACTGAGTGATGGCTACATGTAGATTAATAATATACTACTTTTACTTATGTTCATGTTTGAAATTTACAATCACAGAAAATCAGTATATAATTTGAACTCCTCAATGGAGCCCAGAGACTTTGTCGTTTTTCTTTTGGTCCTAATATGGTTAATTAAGAACAACACTGTTCTTACATTTAATTTGATTACATTTGATGGGTTCTATAACTAAGATCTGTCTTAAAATTATTATGACTTTTATATACAAGGGCATTTAACACCTTGATTTCTGATACTCTCATTTAATAGAAATTTTCTTTCGCAATTTCTATCTAACAAGCTTTGTTCTTGCCTTCAGAACTCAGAGATATTTTTTAAAAATTTCGTGTAGCTGGATGCAGTGGCCCTCAGACTGAGGCAGAGGATCACCTGAGCCCTGAAGTTCAAGGCTGTAGTCAGATAGGATCTCACCATTGCATAAGAGCAGGTCTTTAAAATCAGTCAAGTTTCAGACAGTATTATCTGTAGTCTACCAAACTCTCTTAATATATGCTCAAATGTTTTGGTAAGGGATTCTAATATCCAAGTTCACACAAAAACATATTGTCCTCAGTTGAGAAATATTTTCATAAGTTCTTTTGTTGCGTTTCTACAACCCAGACACCTCTTATGTTCTCAAACAAGATATTCCAATGTGGTTCTTATGTTCGAATGAAGTCAATTGCCTTTTAAGCACTATGTTAATTTAACTATTGAATTTCAATAGCTGAGGCCAAATTTGAAAAGATGGAACCTCACAATTCACCCTGAATTGCCTCCCAATTCACCTTGCAATTCACACAGCAAACCTTGTTGTCCTCAGGCCTTCTAACCTTAATACAGAAATGCTACCACGTCAAAGGTATCCGTAAAAAGAAATGGGACGGAGAAAGATTATTGAGGCTCTTATAAAGTCTTGTTTGCAGGCATCATAAAGAACTCATAACTTTTTATACAATTTAAATTTAACATTTTATTGAGGCACATAAATCAAAAGATCCGTGCACTTTTTTTTTTTTTTTTTTGAGATAGCTTTTAGTTTCCCCTAAGCAAGAATAGTTCTCCAGCCGATTTTTTTTCTCTTTCAAGACATTGGTATTTTTAGAGACCAGAACAGTTGTTTTGCAAAATTTTCTTCAATTCTGATTTTTCTGATTGTTC